TGGAATCAAACCAACCATCAAATTCTTTGGTAGCATACTCCTTGTTGAAACGCTCTACTTTTTTGTTTGAGCACACAGAGATAGGTCTTGCGCACTAAATGCCAATCCGAATGAACTTGACAAGCAAAGAATCCAGCGAGATTCCACACGTTTTGGTTGTTGGAGAACAAATCGCCTCGAATCATCATGCACAATTGATACAATCGCTCATCGTAGGATTGAGTTGCAAGGAAGTATTCCACACCGCATTCAACGTTTGCTTGTTCAAATGATTCACGGTCTTCATTGGACTTAAAGAAGAAATTATCAAGCATCTGCGATTCATCCAGCTCATTAAATTGATATTGCAAAAGGTACGTGTATCCGTCGTTGCCAAAGTCAGGTGTGCCATCATCACTGTGCTTGTAGTTGATGGAATCCCCAACTGCGTGCATCTTCGACTTGATCCAATTACTTGGTGACAACACGCGCGAATCTCCCAACTTGGGTTCATCGTATTTATCAACAGATTTGATGTGCTGAATGCAATGCTCACCATAAATTTCTTCAATAGACTTGGTCATCGTTGGTTCAGCAACTGCAGGCACAACAGCTACAGATTCAGCAGCTACTAGTTCAGCAATCACTGGTTCAGCAACTATTAGTTTAGCAATCACTGGTTCAGCAACTACTGGCTGATACTTCGCGTGGTGTCGGCACCAATCGCCTTTTGAGCCGCACTGTTGGCTCGCCTTTGCGTGGTCTTCTGGGAAGATGTACTTGCACATTGTTATTTCTATATATTTATTTTTTATCGCTCAAGATGAACTCACTATTATTTAGTTTCTATATATTGAGGAGTATTTTTGTCAGAAATAAAATAATTATTTTAAAGTGATGTGATTGGCTAAAACTGTGCGGTGTGCTGCGTGAATGAGTGCTGCTGCTCAGTCGAGAACTTTCCGCACGAAGATGGCAGAGGTCGAGTTGGAGTGCGCGGTATACGGCGAAGGGACTGTGTTTCCCGTGAAGATAGCGAGCAACGCGAAAGTGAGCGCGCTGCAGAAGGCCATGTGAACGAGAAGAAAGACGTCGATGATCGCTTCAAAGTTGATCCAGCCAGATTGACGCTCTACTTGGCGCGGAAGAAGGGGGAAGCCACGTGGATGAAGCACGACCACACGGTGAAAGGCTTCTTGTGAGGTGGCATCAGCACCGAGTATGAAGAGATGCTTTCGTCGTGGATTCTCGACGAAAATTGCGGTCGTGGTGATCATGTCAACACCATATTCATTCGAAGCCCTTGCCCGCAACCGCAGAATTGGCATTACCAGTGGCGTGGAAAGTGACCGCGACTAGCACTGCAAGGATGCATGTGAGGCGCATTTTTTTGTCGTTTGGGTCAACAGCTAGGGCACTTGAGTCGAAATGAGAGAGTGCGAGCAGATTGCAGAATGAGGTGTCGGACGAAGACAGGGCCGTACTACGTGCTGGAGCACGAGGAAGTTCCACTTTGTACTGTTTTCTTCCAGTCTGTACAAATAACGATGGGATATAGCTACCGATCCAGTACATATTTCCAGACAGTTGTTGAACGAATAAACAGGAAACTTAAGTTCGCAGCTAGTAATGGATTTTGTAGGACTATTCACGTATAAAATGTAATGTGTAGGCACTATTAAAAAGA